GATTCTAATTTTCATCATTATCTCCATGTGCCTCATTAACAATACGAAATCATCATATGCCAGAAGTCTTTTCCAAGCATATTGACCTCGATAACTTTGTAAGAGAAAGAATTCCTACAAAAGAAACATAATATTAGTACACATACAAAGATTCAAGTAATAGGGGAGTATCAAAAGTTGAAGTCTACAACATTTAATAGGTACATTTGATAGGATAAGAAGAAAATTAAATATGAATTAGGTTTCAGAAACAGAGTAAAGCGGAAACCGAGTAATGTGACCAACGGCACCATATCTAAGGAATTTTTTATAGTAAAATATAAAGAAATCCAAAAATATATTTAGTAAATAGTCCAAATATGAAAAGAATTTAGAACATTTTCTGTCTATCATACATGTAAAAAAAAACAAAATTTGCAGCTCCACATGTTGTAAATTGAATCTTAAACCGATGATTACACAATTATATATCTTACTTCTCATAATTTGTAGTAAATTTGGAATCCAGTTTGTAAATATTATAACATACCTGGGACACATGAAGCTACTTTTTTCTTCACCTCATAGATATTCTTGAGACATGAGGATGATACTCAAACATCTGCAATGTTCCACATTCAAGTTAAACAAAATATAGGATTTCATACTGATTGAAAAAATTAATCAAAGCCTACACAATATTTTTTTTTTATAAAAGAAATTACTTTCATTGTGTTTCTCTTCTTCATCACTACAAACACTACATACACAAATCAATGTCTCGTCTCTTTCTTCTTTCTTGCCTGTAACACTCTCTTATCCTTCTTCTTTTGTTTTCTTTTGCTATATTTTCAAAACTCGCATATGGATTTATATTATTCCCATAGTTTGCCTTCATCTTCCGTCTTTTTTTTTTTTGCTAAAAGGTAAATATTTCATAAATATGAATTGGTTCAGGATTACAATATTGAATTGTAGCCCTATACAATGTAATCCATGGCAAAAAACTTTAAAAAACATGGAAACATATGCATACAAATTTTTTTCAGTCTGTACATAAACGAACTGTCTATGGAGCTAAACGAAGTGATAACGATGTAGAGCGTTCGAGCAAGATCAATTGTGCTTAGGAGGACCCGGGAAAAACACGTAGACCTCGAGGCGAATCCAAATGCTATAGAAGCCTTTCGAAAGAGGACCAAGCAAGGGTTGTCAACGGCAAAAGCTTCAATGTACTCTATCACCGATTCCTCTCGCATCGAGTGAGACCACCTAGAAAGACATCTCCATGAGCTTGACCCGAGAAAAATCCTCAAACTCCCGCAAAAGAACGGAGCAAGCTTTCCCTACCAATAATGTTGGCTAGTACAAAGCTAAATATGACGATGGAACACTGCACCCAACACCCCAGGACTTACTAGCTCCTCTATGGCCGAAGGTAAGCCACACAACCCAACACACTAAACCGCAGGCCAAAGTAACGCAACAACTTCAAATGCAAGACACTCTCTACAACAGGTCCTAAACCACTCCACAAACTCTTGAAATACGGCAAAGCTAAACCATAGGACTGACCACGAAGCTACCACCGATAACACAACCAACCAAGGGCTACAACACCGCAAGCATCAAAGGCAGAAAAAGGAACTCGACGAGAACAACACCAAGCACTCGCGATGCAACCATGGATACACACTAGAGGGATAAGCCACTGTCCATTGCAAAACCCGACTATAGTGAATCCAAATCAATGAGGCCGACCATCCTACGAGAAGCTAACTCCACCAGCGAATACTAAGGTCGACAACAAAACCCAAAGGCAAAGCCAGAGAGATCGAGGCTCCAACGCAGAGAGTAAGAGAGTCAACAAACAATCTCTATCAATACGAAGGAGATCTCAATAACTTACAGCCGAGGGGATACAAGGGGAGACATGGTGAAGAACAGAGGACCACACGTCGCTTGCCAAAACCTTCCTCGACCGGCAGCGGCAAAGAGAGGCGAAGCCCATCCACCATAAAACCCGATGCGCGACGGATTCCAATTGGGAAAATTGGAGCTAGTGAGACCATTGCGATGATTGAAGAAGTGCCACAGCTGACAGGCAACGGTCCAAACCTGCAAGCAACCACTGCCATCATCGGTAACACAAGAACCGGAGGAGGATCTATAAGTAGATCTGGAGCCGTCGGAGGCGTGAGGCGGGTGAGGGGTTCTAGCTAATCTCCATAACTCGCGCCCGCTACAACACCGACTAGAGGGGGGAGGACAGAGAAAACCCCATCACCCCGACGCGGCTGTCACGCCGCTCTCCTCTCCGGTCACTCGCTGCATGATGA